GAACAAAACTGTTATCTGGCAAAATAGCTGAGATTAAATACAACAAGGCCAATGTAAGATGTATTTCTGATTAAAGCAAAGTATAAGGTAGTGCCTCTTCCCATTCCTCTTACACCTGAAGCTTACAGTATTCTAAAACTGTGGTGAAACTGCTTCTCTGCAAATCAAATACTGACTACATAGCCCACACAGCTCAGGATAACAGCTTTATTATTTAATTTATTTAAGTGTACTAATGTTTGAAGAATAGCCAAAGCTATTACTGTAAACTTCCAAATTACCTATCATTTTTTGACTGAAATGCAAGCATTTCAGTCTTCCTAATAGCAGGGCTAGTCTTGAGACGGATGACTATAGGAAGAGTTGTCATAGCAGCCACTGTTGGGGACTCCGATGTAATAAGCATGACAACCTAACAGCTTTAACAGTGGATACTCTCAAGTGTCCCTTAACATAGTTGTTATTTCACAGACCATATTTGCTAGAGAAATGCAGTAGTTCAAACAGCTTAATTAAAGGTTTTTAAAATTTAAGAAAATCAGTTGTTTGAATTAGGACCAAAAGGTTGAACCGTTGATAGAAAAGTCAAAGGGCTTTATTTTCTTTCTGCATTACTAACCCATTAGAACTTCCAAATCATCTTCAGAGGAAGCTTTAGTGGTTCACTTGGATGCTATCATTCTGTCTAATTCTTGACCCACAGAAGAAAAATTGGAGACTGGATAATTATTCAAGTTCATGGGGTTTAAAGTGCACTACAATCCCAAAGACAATTAGAAAAGCTACAAATCATGAAAGGTGCCAATTTCTGGTTGTTCAGCAAACTTGTGCATATAATTATTTATGGTAACCTGCTGACCAAGCTGCTGTGTAAGAAACTGCTATGACTAGTTGTGTGAAAAGATTGCAGAATAGCTAATATGCACAAATCATTTCTTTTTGCAGGCTTCCACAATGATATGTGAATTGTGAATATGCATGTGAATAAAGTAGACCACTTTCTTCACACACACACACACACACACACACACACACACACACACACGTATGTATGCATATATGTATGTATGTATATATTCATATATATTTATTGACATATACATACACACACACACATACAAATGTGGGAAAGACAGCATGGCCACCAGATGGATTTGTAACTGGCTGACAAATTATATTCAGCATGTAGTCCTCAATGGAACTACATCTACATGGAGGGAAGTAAGCAGTGGGGTACCCAAAGGTTCTGTTTTAGGCCCAGTACTCTTCAATATCTTCATAAACAATCTAGACAAGGGAATAGAATGGGAACTCATCAGATTTGCTGGCAATTGGAGAATTTGTACCCAGTCGTCCTCTATTCAACCATCCTTGAAATTTGCTTACTCTGTAAGCAAATTTTTTTCTGCATTTGCTGCCCTTCTTTGCTCTATTATTATTCATATTCAGATATAGAGCCCTGCTGTCATTATTTCCATTTTGCATTTCTTTCATTTTCCTGGGAAGACAGTTAAATTATTTATCTGAAATTTTAAAAATAGAATTTCTTCCCACTGTTTTAGTCATGAATGTCTTTTAGCTGCTGCATCATTTATAAATAGAGCATAGTATTTTATCAGTATATACCTACTAATTACAGTATATAATAATTTACTGAATATGTAGTGGACTTTAGATAGGTCCGTCGTACTTGAGTAGAATCTCAAAAGAAATACCAGAAGGTTGTTCACCCAACACATACCGTTAAGTCAGACTTTCGTAAGTAGAATGTCTATATAATCCTTATGTCTGTTAAACATTATGTTGCTTTTCGTACCTAATTTTTCTGTCCATTTAAAGTGTTTTTACAGTTCTCACTACACCAATCAGAAAACTTTATGTGGCTTTGGTATCCAGATAGCTTTTATCCCTACTGGTCTTATAATGGAAGGCGTCTGCAACATATTTTATTAAAAGGCATGACATTTCATGAGATACAGCTCAGTTTATGTATTTAATAACATTTTCTACTTAGAAAAGGTGCTAATAAACTTCTGATTTTTTTGCTATCTAGTTTAATGAAGAGAAGGACGAGGGGGGACATGATAGCAGTATTCCAATATCTCAGGGGCTGCCACAAAGAAGAGGGAGTCAAGCTATTTTCTAAGGTGCGTGAAGGCAGGACAAGAAGCAACAGATGGAAACTAATCAAGAAGAGAAGCAACCTTGAACTAAGGAGAAACTTCCTGACAATTAGAACAATTAACCAGTGGAACAACCTGCCTCCAGGAGTGGTAAATACTCCAACACTGGATGTTTTTAAGAAGAGACTGGCAGCCATTTGTCTGAAATGGTATAGGGTTTCCTGCCTGAGCAGGGAGTTAGACTAGATGACCTCCAAGGTCCCTTCCAACATTATTATTATTATTATTGTTGTTATTATTATTATTATTATTATTATTATTATTATTATTATTATTGTTGTTGTTGTTGTTGTTGTTGTTGTTATATTATTATTGTTATTGTTATTGTTATTGTTATTGTTATTGTTATTATTATAGACCAGCATGTGATCATGTGGCCAGAATAACTATAAGTTGAAGTGCATGAAATGCTGTACCTTTCCTACCAAACTGGTACCTATTTACCTACTCACATTTGCATGGTTTTGAACTACTAGATGGTAGCAAGTAATGGAAGCTTATCAAATGATGTAGCACTCAGGTCTGAAAACTGGACTGTCAACTTTCCAGCTGACAAATCCATGCTAGGAAGACTAGATCAAAAGATCTGAGTAAAATGTCTGCAAAATGGGGCAGAACACAGAGGGTAATAGTTGATTAATAGTTTTTATTGGAGTGGTGCAGTGGCTCGCAGTTGACACTGGGCTTATTGGCTGAAAAGCCAGCAACCCAGGTTCATAACCCAAGCGCCGCATGATGGGATAAGCTCCCGTCCTCGCCCTTGTCAACCTAGCAGTTTGAAAGCATGCAAATGTGAGTAGATAAATAGGTACCACTTGGGCGGAAAGATAACAATGCTCTGTAATGTCATGCTGGCCAGGTGACCACAGAAATGTCTTCAGACAGTGCTGGCTCAATGGCCTTGAAATGGAGATGAGCACCACCCCCTATAGTCAGCAACAACTAGTGGAGTAAAATCTGCAGGGATTCCTTTTACCTTTATTAATCAAAGTAATATCACCCTTTGATAATAAATAATTTTATTATAAGATTCAAGGATAAAAAGGATAGATAGTAGTTTACTGATTTGGGAAACTAAGTCCTTGGAAAAGAAATTCTTAGCAAATGTTGAAGAAAAATGAAATTATGTGACAAGCCTGATCATTGTCTCTTGTGCCATAGTACCTGCTTCAAATGTGACTGGGATATCAGCTCCTTGCAGGAGAGATTTATAAAAATGTTTCAGTGACTAGTAATCCATTCCTAAAAAAGTGAGCTAGACTACAAAAACAAGGCCAGCGTCAAGATTGATGAGATAACTGGCTGGCATAGCTGCTGCATTTGTATACATTGCACAGCCTTCCGTTTTTAAAGGGGTGGATGTAGAATACAACCAACCAGCAGTTGTTTTAACTGGTCCCAGCACAGCCATATCTTCTTCGTACAATGCTTAGCAGGAGATGGGACAAAACGGCAAAGACAGCAACCAAAAGGAAAATGCAATTTTCAGAAGAACATTGGTTCATTTTTATGATATAGCTTCCCCAGCCCAATCTATGTCAACCAAACAGCCTTTGGTTCTTTAAATAGCATTCCATTGATTATAATAGATCTTCCTCCTGGATTTCAAGTGCTGTGATCATTAGATCCTTGTCTTAATATTAACAGTAACAGTAATCCCACTCTAAACATGCCAGAGAATTAAAGCAGCCTTCTTCAATACGTCCTCTAGGCGTGCCAAATTCCAGGATTGGGGCTAGCTAGAGCAGTGGTTCTCAACCTGTGGGTCGGGACCCCATTTGGGGTCGATCGACCATTTCACGGGGGTCGCCAAGCAAGGCTGTCCGCCATTTTTTTTGTCCGCCATTTTTTTTGTCCACCATTTTTCCCCCTTTTCGGGCAGGTGCCTTACCTCCCTTGGGCTGGGCCATCTGGTGGTCGGCCTGCTCTGTCTCTGCCGCTTGCCAGCTACGCCTCGGCCGGCGCAGGGAGCGGAACCATGCATGTGCGGCGCTCCCGGGCAGGGAAAGTCCTCAACTTACGACCAGTTGGGTAGTCCTCGACTTACGACCGGTTTAGTCCTCAACTTACGGCCGGTTGGGGTCGCGGCATTAAAAAGGTTGAGAACCACTGAGCTAGAGAATGTCACCCAATGCACCTGGGCTGCACCAAACTGGGAAACCGCGTTTAAAGAAGCCTCCGGTTCCCGGCGCTTCTCAGGCTCCTTCCTGCACAGCAGCAATCCTCCTACGCATCTCCGCTAGCATCCTTCTCCCAGCTTGCTTGGCTGGCCGCGTTTCAAGCCCCTTCCAAGCGCCAAGCCTGGCAGCAACCCACGGCGGCTTCCTCACTATCTTCTTTCGCTACCCAACCCTCGCTCCGCTCCGAGCAGCCGCCACTTCGGAAACTTTGAAGGCGGAGATCCAGCGGGGGAAGAGCAGAGAAGCCGCCTTTCTCGGCTGGCTAGTGGCGGCTTGGATTCAGCATTCCATTGGACGCTTCATCCGCGCAGGTCCAAGGGTAAAAATCAACAGCAAAGGGAAGCGCGGTTCGTTTGCCGCTCGGCGCTCCTTCCTCTCCAAAGTTTCGGGCTTCGCGGGCGGGATCCTCCGTCGCCCAGTTGTACTTCATTCTGCGGCGGGACGCTCGAAGTTTAAGGCTGTTCTTTCGAGGACTTCGAGACCGGGCTCGCTTGAGGCCGTCTAAGAAAAAGGCGGGTTCTTAGTTGAACGAGACTCTAGTTCTTATTCCTTGAGTTTAAAACAAAACAAAGCAAAACGCCCGGCAGCGCCTGCCATGTCCGAGGAGCGAGGGGAGACAGAAGAGCGATCCTGAACTATGCGGTCCCTGAACATCACCCCGGAACAGTTCGCGCAACTCCTGCGCGACAACAACGTAACCCGCGAGCAGTTCATCGCGCTCTATGGGCTCCAGCCGCTGGTCTACATCCCGGAGCTACCCGAGCGCGCCAAGCTGGCCTTCATCCTCACTTGCGCGGCCATATTCGGCCTGGCGCTCTTCGGGAACTGCCTGGTGCTCTTCGTGGTGACCCGCCGCAAAGCCATGCGTACCGTCACCAACATCTTCATCTGTTCGCTGGCCCTCAGCGACCTGCTCATTGCTTTCTTCTGCGTCCCTTTCACTTTGCTGCAGAATATCTCCAATAATTGGCTGGGAGGTGAGCTGGAGAGGCTGTTTAGAGCCTCGTCCTAGCAGGCAGACAGTGTATCCGCCAGCGGTGTGTGTCCTTTTGCTAAGAATCTGTGCCTCGAAGCTATCCCCACATGCCTTTCTGGTTCCTTAAGGTTGGGTTTCCTTTACACATTATACTTAGATGTGCAAAGAAGGGTTAGAAATGTGGGAACTGGGTGTCAGAATCTGACTTTGTAATAGAGAAAAAAGTATGCTTACACCTTTGGAGAGGTAACCCCTTTGTCTCTTCTTTCTATTGCTCTTGTGGGGGGGTGTATATGTGTGAATGGTAGATTACTTGCGCTTGCAAAAGTTCTTGCTTAATGGACAAATATTTTCTACTTCATTCTTAACAGGTGTGTTGGCTTCAGTGCTGTGTTGGGGAATCTTGAACCTAATGTTAATTCTTCATGTTTGAGAATTCTCTACTGGCAAAAGTCAACTTGGTGCTGGACTTCAGTTCCCATAATCCCCAGGGTCAACACATTGGGTCAACACATTGTGTTTTCGCCGAGCCCTGAAAACCCATTTATTTCGTGCGGCCGGCCTGGCGTAGTCTTAATTAGGTTTTAGTATAGTTTTTTATATGGGGTATTTTAGAGCAGGCCTTTATTTATTTAATTTGATTTTAGAATAGATATTTATTGTGATTTTTATTATCGCCTGTTCACCGCCCTGAGTCCCGTAAGGGAGATAGGGCGGTATACAAATCTAAACAAACAAACAAACAAACAAATGCTGATTTCCATTTTACAACCATTCCTTGTTTTCATAACATTATTAGTAGTTCAATGATAGAAGGTGAATATAATACAATATAGCATTTATATGTATGCAGTTAAACTTTTAATATATATACATCTCAGATACAAGATGTAAATGATAATCTTTGTAGGAGCTAATTTTAATAGGCATAGTATTTCCTATGGATTATTGTCATGGTCATTTCTTTATAACTTGCCACGGCAGAATTAAAGTGTTCAGTAAACTGTCTTGACATTGTTAGTACATAATTAGGTATCATACTGTATGCATACAGTCAAACT